CTCTCTCTTCTCTCTCTCTCTCTCTGTCTAAATCTCATCGTCTGTCTCTTCTCTGATCTGGCTTCTCTCTCCTACTCTTCTCTCTCTCTCTTCCCTCTTCTCTCTCCTCTCTCTCCTCTCTCTCCTCTCTCTCCTCCTCTCCTCTCCGCTTTCTCTACTCTCTCTCACATTCGATACCCCTCCTCTCGCATCCTCATCCTTCTCTCTCTCTCCCTACGCTCTCTCTCTCCCCTCTTCTCTGCTCTCTACTCTCACCTCTCTCTCTCTCTCTCTTCCCTCTCTCTTCTCTCTCTCTCCCTCTCGTCTTCCCTCTCTCTCTCTCTCTCCTCTCTCGCTCTTCTCCCTCTCTCTCCTCTCCCCTCTCTCCTCTCTCTCTCGCCTCTCCTCTCTCTCTCTCCCCTCTCTCTCTCCCATCCTTCTCACTCCTCTTCCTCTCCTATGAAATTAAAAAAGAAGCGTCATAATGGAATAAAAAAAAAAAGTCTCAGGGAACCCGGGAAACCACAGATATCCTGAATGATTGTCGTACGGTAACCTCTACACGTGGAAGTCATGAACCAACCCCATTACCTCAACTTCCAGTAACATTTCACAAGAATCACTTGTCTTGGGCCAAAAGATGGCTGCCCGCGCCTATGTCAGTAAAAGCTAGTTGATCAGCGTATATATTGAATACGGTATGAAATAATATGTTAATTTTATCTTTCTTCTTGATTGATACAAGTTACAGGGCAAATATCTCATATAACCTAATTGTGCAGTGTAATCCTTTCACATAATATGATTGTGCAAAAACAAAATTCGCTAAAAGACGCTAATGCCTATCCACTCCTAGGGCCCAAACACGCGGTTTGATAACGAATGTATAAGAAGAATATGTAATTGTTTTTTTCCTTATCATAATGCTAGGGATTTAACCACGTTATATTTCATATTTAGAAAGAAATATCACAACAGACCGTTATAATTTTATGTCCCTTGTACCGAAGACACGAAAGGTTGTGAGGATCTTAGATAAAGGAGTAAGTTAACCTAAACGTTTTGATATTGACCGCTGAATCAAGACAGTTATTAAGATGCAATTTTTGGACTCTAATTTTGGACTACGCGGTTTTTGGTCTCACATGTTCACAAAGAGGAGGTTTTTTTTATTCTTTTTTTACAAATGTACTTGCTTAAGAAAAATAAAAAGGAACAAAAAAGCTGTCTCTGGAACTAAAATAACAAAATCCACCACACAGTTATGAACAGCTATGAATGTCTATATTGTTAAGGTACTCTTTAACGTAATTCTTAGGCCCTACTTCCAGCTATTCATGAAAATTCTGGCAACTATTGAAGTCTGGAAGAAAATGAAACGTGAAATATGTGATCGCCAATAGAATGTCAGCTTGTGGTGTGATTGTGATTTTTTTTTTTTTTTATGAAAAGTCATACATTTTTTGTTTGGAATTTCCTGCATTCACTTGCTTTCAATAGAGTGAAAAAAAAAAAATTATCCCGAGAACAAGAGAGGACTGCGCGCTTATAATTTAATATTGCGGCTTTAAACATGTATATATAAAATATTTTATAAATCTGCTTATATATTTGTTTTTATATAAAAGGCTGTGCATCTTCGAATCTCTCTCTCGCTCTCCCTCTCTCTCTTTCTCTTTCCCACCCCCTCTCTCTATCTCTTTCTCTCCTCTCTCTCTCTCTCTCCTCTCTGTCCTCTATCTATGTAATCTCCCTCCCCAGTATATCCTCTTCTTCCACCCTCCCTCACTCTTCCCTTTCCTTCTTTTTTCCTCCCCCAGTACATATAAATACAAACACACATATTTAGACAGACACACACACACACACACACACACACACAGACACTACACACAACACACACACATACACACACACACAATATCAGACACTAGATAGATAGATAGATAGATGAATAGAATTAGATAGATAGATTAGATATAGATATATAGATAGTTAGATATAAATATCTGTAGATATTCTGATCTTTTAATCTCCTTATTTTTTTTCCGCTTTGCTCTTTTCTTCTGTTCTCTTTCCCACAATTAAACGGCATTTTCGCCGCGCGAAACGGCAACCGGCCCCAGCCAGCGTGTCCTTGCGCAAGATGGCTCTTCTGTCGTCACATCCTCGGCTCATCCTTTGTCCGAAATCACGAACGAGTTTTTACTTTCCCTTTTTTTTGTCTTTTTCTTAATTCGTTTTTTTTTTTTTTTTTGGGGGGGGGGGGGGGGGGGGAGGGGGATGCGTCATTCGGTTAAACCTTTCACCCTCTATCTTCTTTGAAACTGCGGATGGATCTGTAGCGCTGTTTGTGTTCGTTTTATTTTTTTCTAGTTTCTGTATTATGCGTAATATATATATATATAATATTATATATATATTATATATAATATATATATATATATAATATATATATATATATATATAATATATAATACATAAATACATACATACATAATATACATACATTACATATATT